CATCTTAAAGTTGCCAAGATTGAGAATTGGATTAGAGGGACCACAAGGGCTGCTGGAAGTATTGCTCACAATCCATTGGTAGATCCTTACCAATGATTTTTATTTATTTCAAGCACAATTCCTCTTATTTTCTTCCCACATCATTTCATTTATTACTCTAATCTCATTATTTGGCAAGTCAGGTTCTACTTCCCAAGGGCTCTTTCACTTTTAAAAAAAAACTTCCACTTGGAGCCATAAATGCTTCTGCAGTCTTTTAAAGGACAATGGGTATACTATGTTATCTGGAAAGTTATTTTGCAGCTTTTGGGGCTGACTTTACCATAGGCATCTAAACCCTTCTTCAATCATTTGGAACAAGTGCTGAATAAACTGCAGGAGGCAGTTGACTATGAACTTTTTTTTTTCTCCTAGGGTCTCAGGATTTAAAATAGGGCATAAGGCCTGGTTATCTGCAATACTGCCTCTCCCTAAGAAAATATACCCTTTCTAGCACATCAGATAGGGTAGGCATGATCCTAATACAGGTAGCCCTTGACTTAGGAGTTGTTAAGATCATTTGAAGTTACAACGGAGTTGAAAAAACGTGTTTATGATCTATCCTCGAAGTTACGACTGCCACATTATTCCTGTAGTTACATCATTGCACTTCAGGTACTTGGCATATGGTTTGCATTTAAGACCAGTTGCAGTATCCTGCAGTAACATGATTGTGTTTTGTGACTTCTTTGACATTTTCTGGCAAAAACTACCCACTGGATAAATTTGCCCTTAACAACTATGTGATTTGCTTAATGGTCGTGGTGACTCAATGATTGTAAAAATGGTTACAAATTTGAATTTGCTCTTATAAGTGCTCTTGTGCACTACAACTGCAATGACTTACAGCCAAAATTACAGACTTAATTGTGGTTGTAAGTTGAGAACAACCTGTACTTTCCCTTAACAGTTGCTGTCTTATGTGACAAAGTATACCTTTTCTATGGCAGTCTCTGCCCTATGGAATACACTTTCCCTTGAAATTTGGCTTACCTCTATCCCCTAGCCTTCCAAAAAGCATTAAGACCTGACTTTTCCTCAAGCACTGGGGTAGGGTGAGGTGGGTAAGAGGATTTAACAAGGGATTCCATGTGGAAGCCTAATGTTGGTGCCAGATTTTTAATGTTTAAGGTTTTAATAGACATATGTATTATTCTGTAAGTTGTTTTAATTGTTGATGGAGTGCTACCCAGAGTTCAATATAAGAACATTTTAAATAAAAAAAATTAGAAATTGTGTATACAAGTAGCCCTCAACTTACAACCATTTGTTTAACAACAATTCAAAGTTACAATGGCCTTGGAAAAAAATATAACCATCGTTATCCCCCTTTTGGTCACATTTGCAATTTGTGAGTGGTTGCAGTGTCCTGTGGTTGTGTGACTGCAATTTTTTTTTCTGGCAAAAATATCCATTAGGGAAGTTGGATTCACTGAACCACCATGTGATTCACTTAACCATGGTGATTTGCTTAATGACTGCTGTAAAAATTGTCATAAAATTGGGTCCAATTCAATTTACAACCATCTCTTCCAGTGGAAATTCCAATCCCAATTGTAGTCGTAAATTGAGGATTACCTACATATCATTTTTAAATATGTTTTACCATTAACTCTTGCTATGGATTTAGCCCACTGCATTTAAATTTCTATTGGCTAAAATGTTATTCAGAATTTACTTATAATAGGTCTCAAACATAAACTCTATACAGGAAAGAAAAATCTTTCTACCTGACATAAAATACACCAGTATATTCAGCTTTAATTAAGATATGGTTTTGGTTCATGCATTTTACTTGTTGAAAGCAGCTTGTGCAACACAACTTCTCCTTTCATCATTTGCCAAAGACTTCTTCAGGGGCAGAGAAGATTCTCTTGAACAACCTGGTATGTGTTTCAGTGGCAAATAATTGAAGAAACCTCTGCTTCTACAAATGTCCATGTGTTCAGTTCTCTACTGTTCCATTTTCAGTAACAAATCCTATGGTTCTAAACTGTCTGTCTTTTCCTTATAAGCAGGAAAACTAAGTGAAGGTGACATAAAGTATCTATTATATGCTGGCCTTCCATTCAAATGTTTGGAACCAACTTTTTTGTTTTTTATTGCATTTTCTTCCCTATTGATGGCTTGGAAGCATCTCAATGCTCACTATCAACTCTGTGTTAGGTAAGGCAATTACATCCTCTGAGAGTTCCAAGAAACAGTTGTTCTGTTCATTTCCTGGTCTTGAAAGTTTCTGTAATTTCTCCCTTAATTATAAAATGTTAATTTAAGCCTTAAGCATAAGGGTAGCAGTTTTTGCTATGCGATTATAGAGTATGATTTTGTTAAATTCACACACAGTACACATATTATAAGTATAAAAGTCTAAAATCTTCTTAGGTCTGTATATCCTGCTATACAGTATAAGCCTAATAAAGTTGATTTCAGATTTATCAAAATTACACCAATATTCAACTCATGAAATAGTGAATAAGAATGGAATACTAAATGCTTCAAATTCCAACATTGTTCTTAGTTTGAAACTTAGTTTCCAACTTCCAAGATAAAAACAGAGGTATTCAGAACAGAATAGAAAAATCCCTAAAATGATTAGAATAATCCATTTCAAGCACTCATTGTTTGATACACCCTTAGTTAAGAATATTGGATAATTTTACATTAATTTGCACAATTCAAAACAATTATTATATTCATACTGTACAATTTTCTATTTTCAAGTTTCAAGGATTAGTGCCCTGGAACACAAGAGTATGCACTGATAGTACACCACACTTGAAATATCAAGCAATCTTGTGTCTGTAAATTAATAGCATATTTCACAGTGGCATACAAATCATCGTAAAGTGCAGTAAAAAATATTCTGCACAAACAAGTTTGGTATGATAATCTTAATTAACTTCTAAGAACTAAGCTGTGATAAGCATTTGTAAGGGATTCAGATGAATAATACCTCAAAACTATCTTAGTGAAATCAATGGTGCAAGTTATCTATGTGTAATTTCCCTTGATTTCAATAAATTTGCTCTAAATATGATCCCATCAGATCCAACCCTATAAAATAGGTATGATTTTGTGTATGTTATTTAATTATGAATTAATGTAAACAACTAAGACAATTCCTTTTCCACTGAATCAATGGCTCAGCATATCACATTATTATGTAGTTTAGGACAACCTATTTTAATTACTGTAAGTCTTTTAAAGCCACTGTGTTAACTGCAAAGCAACAAAATGTTATTCTCCAAGACTATCCAAGATTATATCAGCTTATTCTGCAATGTTATTAAAATGAGAAAGAACAGCTATTTGTAGGAATAATATCAAGAGAAACACACAGGGATTGTTTTTCATACTAAAGCAGCAAGTATTATCTCTGTTCATATAATAAACTTTAACCACTGTTCTGTGAAAAATGTAGGCTTCACAATGTGAAGATAAAGTATGCCTGGGTTCACCAATTAATTTACACTATGGTTAAATATATTGTGTAAACTAGACCAGGGATCCCCAACCCCCGGGCCGTGAACCGGAATCAGGCGACACACCTGGAGGTGAGCGGCAGGCGAGCAAAATTGCACATGTGCAGGATCTAGGTTGCACACTTCTCTTCCCACCCACCCACCGTCTGTGGAAAAATTGTCTTCCACAAAACCGGTTCCCCTGGTGCCAAAAAGGTTGGGGACCACTGAACTAGACCACTGTATGCATCTAATGTATTTCTAATTAAATTATTCATTTTGAAATGCATATCTAACAACTAAATTTCCTAAATATACTTTATTAGAAGGAAGCAAGTCCCATAGAGTTCAAGTAATATAAATCCATGCATATAAAGGGAAGCCTTAGATACAATCCCAACGGAAGATGTCGTAGGAGCAATAAGATATTGTAGTTGTCATCAATGAAGCTATGATGGAAGTTTTCTTCAGAATGGACCCATCTGAATAGTGACAAAGGAACTGTGATGTCAGGGGCACACTGGAAGAAGCTTGTGATATAGTGTCCAATATATGCCATCCCGGGTGATTTTTATTTTTTCCTTAATTACCCCTTCTGCTCAACCCAGCAGAATCTTAGACAGCATTAAGTAGAAAGGAACAAATTGGAATGACATGGTTTCTCTTTCCCTTTCTTACATAAGATTCTTCTAAAAGTAAAGCTCTATTGACCCTGATGATACATTTAATATGTACAGGTAGTCCGCAACCTATAATTGGGACCAGAATTTCTGTTGCTAAACTAGAGAATTTAAGTGAATTGTGCCTGATTTTTTTGATCTTTTGGCCACACTGAAGTTAAGGGAATCATGCAGTGGTCAAGACATTAAACTAATTTCATTTCTTCCACTGACTTTGCTGAAGGTTGGTCAGAAGGTTGCAAATGATGGTTGCATGACCTCAGGACAGCGCAACTGTTATAAAATGCCTGCTGGTAGTTCCCAATGCCCAAATTTTGACCTGATCGTGGGGATGCTGCAATGGCTGTAAGTAAAGACTGGTTATAAGTCACTTTTTTCACTGCTGTTTTAACTTCAAACACTTGCTAAACAAATGGCTGTAAGCTGAGGACTACCTGTACAAGGCTGTTTTCAAGCATAATGGCAAAAATAAAGCCTTTTTAATCAAAAATGCTATCTACCCAATTTTTATATATATGCATGGTACAAAAATAACATTCCAATGTAATTCTAACACCACAGCAAGTTTTAAAACTAATGAAGAGTTCCAAAAATTATGTAAACATTTATGATTTACAGTTAAGAATTCCCAAATAGGTTTTTAAAAGATGTTTCTGTACCTGTTTTGACCACCACTCTTCTAAAAGCATAACACAGCTTGATGCCAATGTGCAGCTGTTTTTATATAAATATAGCTATTATGCTTTCAAACAGTACTATTTACATTGATGCACAAGTAAAGTTTTCAAATAATTTTTAAAAAGTAGCATAGAAAATATTCAGGTGATTATGATTCCTAGGCTTTTATTATATAGTACTAATAAGTAACATGTAAACACAGCCATGAGAGCATACAAACTGAAACCATGAATAAACATTTTATTTCCCAAAGTATTTTGAACTGAAAAATAGCAGACTATTATATTCAGAATTGGGAACAAACAAAATCTGAGAAACTGAATATATGCTTGCTAAAACAAGAATAATGTTTATTTAGCTAGTGAATCACTTTGAGGAATAAATTTTCACTTCCATGATAGCAATCTTTTCAGGCTTGCAAACACCCAGAAATAGGAATTAAAGATTTTAAGTGTTGTTATAAAGGTCATAAAAAGTCTGATTTAGACTGAGGTACATGTACTCAAAATTGAGTTTGAGTGTAGCAAACAAACAGTTCCTCAGACAAACACACTTCTTCTGGTATACATGTTACGGGGGGGGGGGAAGAAATGTGCATTAACTGGTGCGGCCCACCAAGCTGCATATATTAATATTCTCTACACCAAACAGTTTGAAACAAGGGAAATGACATTCTAATATAATTTCATGTTATAATTCATTTGGCTAAACTGTAGCTCAAAGTTGCTTTGCCATATTAAAAGTTTACTACAATAATTTTCACATGAACATTTAGACTTGAATTTTACTCCAGGACTAAATATGGCATGATTTTGCTTTAAATTCTGCTGAATAGCTAAAAAAAACCTGACAATTAAAAAACTACATCAAAGAAAAATAAATTGAAGCAATGTGAATCTCACATCATTGAACCACTTATGATGGTTAATTGTTAGTATTTAACAAATTCAAAGAGTTAATGAATCCTTGCATTCGTTCCATCTCCTGTGCCTTAGCTAGGATGCATAATTACAAAAGACAGCAGATACTGGTAAAAGCTTCAGGACAGAAAGTGCTTGACGAAGTTACAGTTCTCAAGTGTGTTTGGTGAGAGAGTATAAGGGCAGATGCACTGATGAGAACCATTACAAGAAGAGTCAATTTTGTGTTAAAGTGTTCAAAGATGTCACCTTAAGCAGGACCAAAGCTTTAATAACGTCTTCTTAGACATATTAGGCATTTCCAGAGTCTACATCATTAGTGTTGTAATTCTAGCAGGATCGTCTCCATATAGTTATTGTTTGTTTCTATTCCTCTCCTGCAGGACAGAAAAAAAGGAAAATTATTAAAGCATTGTCATAAAATACTTAAGTTCTATGCAGTGGAGCACACCACCAACTCTTCAATTATAAGTGACTCATAAAAACAAACTGTAAGCTTTATCAACATATGAAAGCAATTACTTTGGTAAAAAAAATCATTTCTCAATCCTATAAAGTTTGAACTTATGTTAGTTGTTTAGAAAATTCCATACAAGAGTTTAAGAAAAATAAGCATGCCATAGTATTTTATTAAAGCCATAAACCACACTTCCATTTTATATCACTTTAATTTTTTGTATAGGCATAAGACCATGATAGTATTCATTATTATAAGTATTATCAAATTAGGGCCATGAGTCATAGGATGAATAGAATATTTATCCCTATTCTCTTTCAAGTTAAACAGAAAGTCAGGGCAAAACCCTTTGCTATAACCATTAACTTTTTTAATCTGAATCCTTAAAATAACAAAATCATCTTAACTATGTTGAAAACATGTTAACAGTCTAATTCTTTTTGGGTGAAGGGGTCTTTTAAATTCAGACATTATTTTTTTCATATAACAATAGCTCAACCAATCCAATATAGGTTGCACGTTTTGACCAAGGGTACTTCTCTTCATAATACTGCACATGTTAAGAGTCCACTCTAAAGTATACTCTGTCCTTGATCAGGTCATGTGGAAGTTACTGCGGCTGGGTCCAGTTTGGCTATCTGAGGCAGGTTTGAGTCCATTGGGCCTGAGGAAATGGACACAGTCCTTGGGAGTTATTATGCAGCACTTCTGTTAGTTCCATGTCTCTCCTGGCTGGTTAAAACCTCCAGGGAAAGGATATGTGATTGGGGTCTGGCAATAGTTAATTTCTCTCTGAGGGAGCTGGGTAGTTCTGCTGTCTCAAGGGGCCATCGCTAAACCCAACCGCAGCAAGATTATTGTATACACAAAGATGGAAAGATCTGGCAATACCTACAGTTGAGGAGTGGTAGGCGAAGATGATAAAAACTTGTTGAGATGGCCAAATTGACCTGTTTGATTAGAGAAAAGATAATACCTATATTTATTGCAGATTGAAAATCCCTTATGGACTTTTGTGTCAAACAGAAAAAAAAATTATCTATGTTTTTGACCATTAGAATAAATTATAGAAAGAAGAGACGCACAATGTAAATTTAGAAAAGAGGTAAATCTACAATTGTACTTATAACTGCTTTAAAGAAAATAGAAAACCACTACTTTATATCTTTTTTTTTACTTTTTTAATTTTCTTCTTTCTTTTTGCATGTTAGCTTTCTTTTATTTCTTCTTTTTTCTTATTCTATTTTAGTTTGTATTAATTTTTACTCAATAAAGTATTAGAAGATAGGGTGCATCACTAAACCCCACCATTCTGAATAATTTTTGTCCAGTTTTCATATTTCCCTTTCTAAGGAAGGTTGTAAAGAAAGTGGTTGGTTGCGTTGGTAATTCAGAGGAGATGGAAGATGCTGGTTCTCTTCCTTCCTCCAGGGTCAGTCTCAGTTGGTGTTGGCAGGAGGAAGAGTACCATCTCTCTTCTCTTGATTAACATCTATGAAATTGGATGAGGTCATTTGACAGTTTGGGGTGAGCTTTATATCTCTACCCAAGGATGCCTAAGTAATGCCCTGGAGATTCTGTTTCAGGGCCTGGAGGATGTGGTGATCTGGATGGGCACATCAGCCTTTAGCTCAACTCAAGCAAGACTCAGTGGCTCTGATATTTTGGATCTCCTAGTTTGTGAGTCCTTCCATCGTTGGTTCTGTGCCAACTGGGGGTTCTCCTGGACTCCAGTTCCTTCTTGAAAAGTAATAGACAGCCATGGTTAAGAGGGCCTCTGCACAGCTTATGGCTCCTTATTAGTTGCACACATTCCTGCACCAGAAGGGTGTCTGCCCATGGTCACTCATGTTCTTTTGACCTCCAGATTGGACTACTATGATATTACTCTACCCTTGAAGAATATTTGGAAGATTCAACTGGTGCAAAATGCAGTATCACAGGCAGTTACTGGTGTCAGTTACTTGGCACATATGACAAGTGGCACATGTGACAAGTGGCATTCTGTAAACTGCATCAGCTTCCAATGTGCTTCCGCAATTCCTGCAATTCAAGGTTCTGGTTATCACCTTTAAAGCTCTTTGTGCCCCAATTGTTTCTATTGGTTCTGACTGAAGGGCATGCTCAGGATACTGTCACCTAGGTGGGGCCCAGAAGGAGAACTTTTTCTGTTGTGGCACTTGCCCTTTGGGACATCATTCCCTCTAAGATTAGACTGTCCCTGTTGGCTTTTTGTAAGGCTTTGAAATATTGGATTTGTGCCTGAAGCCTGGGCTTCTGGGCATGGGTTAGAGCCTATCCTGGTCTTAATGATAATAAGTTAAAGCATGCCTGATTGCTGTGTCTTAATATATAGTTTGTGTTTTTGTTTGTTTTATTGTAAGATATTGAGATGAGTAATTATATAAATTGACTAAACAAATAAATAAAACCCCATTCCCAAATAAAGCTATTCAGCAAGTTAGAGGGGACCCGGATCCATTCTGTGGTAAATAGAATTAGTCTGTTAGATACAACTCCAAATTTTTCATTTGCAAAGTTGATGGGAAAACTTCCAGAGATAAGCTTTAGGATTCCCTCGGTGATAAAGTCTTGAAGTTTTTCTATATGTTTCCTGTAGATATTGAATACCTTACAACATAATTCAGAATATGTAGCACTGACAGAGTTTTTCATAACATCAATTTTTTGAGGAGGAAGAAAAAACCCTTCAATAGTAAATTCTACCATGATACACGCTGCAAAAATACAATAGGGAAACAATATGATGTGCTGTGAACATCTAATTCTATATTCTGCTTAAATATACAGTCTGTTATATGAAACACGGTTACAGAATGTCAAATAAAAATCAGTATTTTCATACAGACGTTCACATAGTGCAATCTGTTGTGCATTTATAATTTCAGTAGATTAGCCTAACTTTATGTGTTGCTTATTGCATAATTTACTCATATTGAACAAACCATAGTGAATACATGATTTTTAGTAAAAATTGCCTAGGTTGCAACTGTTAACCAAGTATTTTATTAAGCATTTTTCAATCATGAATAAGGGTTTCTTTCAATTATATATATAGGACACAGTTAATTTTTTACTCAGCAACATAGATATAGATGATACCAAATATTATCTTTTCTTATACAGCAATTTAAAAGCTTAAAGATGTATTCAAAAAGTGGCATTCTACAAAAAAGCTTCTCATTCCAAAGGACCATTTGTGAGTTAGCAAAACAATGGGAAAAAGCAAGTTCCATCTCAACCATATATTCAGAAAAACTATTTGTACAATGTTTCTTTTCAAGGCCTATTTTATTTTCTCAAAGCCCTGAATTCTTATTTTCATTATGCATCAAAATTATTCAGAGCACTTATCTGCAAACTGAAATACCTCTTAGTTGGAAGGCAAAACAACCACAGATCCTCCTTCCCCTGTAGCCTCCCAAAATCTGGAAATGCAGGGATCATCTATGAAAATAAGGTACATGGAGAAGAAGGAATCCACAAAAATAATCAATGATCTATCCCTTATCTACAATGAGGAATTTCCTCTACCAGTACAAGGACACCTTTAATTTGGGATTCAGTCTTTTTTTATTCACAGCACAGCATTTAGCACAACCAACTGCACAAAGCTCTGCTTCTGCCACCAATAAACCAGACTGGTCAGTTTTTAAGAAACAAATATAGGATGACATGATTGGTTTGGTCTTCAATAATTAAATATTTGGCTTAACAAATATAACACGGTATATTCCACCTAATGCATATGGAAAGCGTCTAAAGAAAAATAACAATTTAATTAGAAGATTTTAGTTGAAACTTTTATTAGGCTGTTCTAAAAATTGGGAAAATTAAGCTAAGTATTATTATTATTACTTCATATTGTTAATTCATTTAGAATATTAGTAAGAATCCCAATTTAACACTGTTTGGCTTTTACAATGATGATCTGCAATCACCAATGTCCATGAGGAGAGTATATCAAAAAAGGCATAATAGCAGTTGCAGCAGGATGATTGAAGCCCTCTCCCTTTATCATGCATGCAATGCTGTCACACATACAAAAGAGGCAGAGAATTGATCACATTGCTACTACCGGTAGTATCATCTTGCCTATCTTGACCTCCCTCACTTCCCCTGTGGATACTGGTCTTCTCTAAAATAATTCCAGTTAATAACCATCAGTTTGTGAATAGCTTCTATCAATCATTTCCACTGACAAATATAATTGCAACGCAATATAGTTTATTCAGAATTTCCACTTGCTATGATTATTTTTAACTAAGAAATTAAGTTACTTATCTTTTAAATTATACCTAGTTCAAGAAAATATCCCACTCTAATATCTTTCAGGTGTGTTTGATGGTCCACATTTCCTTCCTAAATGACCAAAGTCATGGCTAACTGAAATTTGTGATACATTATTCTGGTTAAGTACTTATCTATTATTTCCATACTTAAAAGCTCATTTTATCATTTAATGAATACAATATTTCTCAACAGGTTAGCTTATTATTAAATGTTATTTTTCAATAGTAAATGGACTTACAGTAGCTAAAGCATTATGCGTTGTCAGCAATTTCTCTGTTACTGATATTCTAATATTTTTCCAAGCTTTTAAACGAGTATCAAATGAAAAAATATGAAGTTTGGCAAGGAGATTCAAGTCCTGTCTGGGGCTTATATTCAATTTTTTTTTCAAAATTCCTAATGGACAACAACCCTTTATTCACCTTTCATTGCAAAAAGCAATGCAAAAGATTCTTGTTATACATTAGCCTATAATGATTAAATTATGTAATAAGAATCAGCACTGGGTTGGATTTAATTAAGCACATACAATATAAGCTTTGGTTTATCACACTAAGAAACATTTTATAAGGAATATTTCACAATATAGCAATTAACATAAATGTGCAAACATTAAACTATATTTTCAAGATTCTAGTACACTACTTTATGCATACATAATTTAATAGTCTAATATTTTAAAATATACATATTTAGTAGATAGATGGTTTATTTCTTATTCATTTTATTTACATGTTATCCATTCTCAAAGGCTCCAGATGGTTAAAAATAACTCTGAAACACATTTAAAAATATAAAGGCAAAAAGATAAAATCTCAAAAATAAAAATTTCATACATCCATGAATCCCACCTTCAATTATGTACACCCAGCTGTACATCTCCACCCCGGACCACCCCAACGATGCCGCGGAAGTGATGTCCCGGTGCCTGGAGGCCGTGCGAGTCTGGATGGGGAGGAACAGGCTTCGTCTCAACCCGTCCAAGACCGAGTGGCTGTGGTTCCCGGCGTCACGTCATAGCCAGTTGGTTCCATCTCTGGCTATCGGGGGCGAGTCATTAGCTCCCGCGGAGAGGGCTCGCAACCTGGGCGTCCTCCTGGATGCTCGGCTGTCTTTAGACGATCATGTGACGGCCGTGGCCAGGGGGGCTTTTCATCAGGCTCGCCTGATACGCCAGTTGCGCCCCTTTCTGGATCGGGACGNNGCCTGGCGTAGTTTGGATTGTGTTTCAGTGGGGAGGTTTTGTATGGGTGTGTTTTTAGAACAGGACTATTATTCAATTCGATTTTAAAACAGAAACTATTTATTTATTCATGGTTTTTAGTATTGCCTGTTCACCGCCCTGAGTCCCGCAAGGGAGATAGGGCGGTATATAAATTTAATAAATAATAATAATAATCATAATCATAATTATAGTATACCCTCCTCTTGTGCAAAGTGGTAGGTCTTTACAATTTTCTAAAGCCTCAAAGCAACAAAACTGGTGTTCTTGCTGTTGGGAAGGAGTTCCAAAGCATGGGATAGGATAGGCTATTCAAGACACCCATTTCCAAGACTCCGTCAGGTGACAATCTCATAGGAATGAGCTCCACCTCACAGGAAGACTTTATTCTTGAAGAGGCTTCAGAACAAGCAAGCATACCCCCATTGTTGTACGATTTTCAGAGGCTCCTGGCCACTGGGCCCCGGGACAGGCTGGTCAGTGCGCACACACCCACTCACAGTAGCGCCATGGCGCACGAAAATGGGCTGCTACTGCACTGTGGGGTGCAAAAACGGGACACCACCACGGGATGCTGTTGCGCCATAGGACACCACCACGCTGCACACACAAAAATGGACAGCGCTGTGATGCACAAGAACAGGGCAGGGCCAGTGAGTATGCTTCCCCCTCCCTTTCTCTCCGGTCCACCAACCGAGAAAGGCAACTTTCAGAGGATCTAGAAGCCACATGATAGCATGCCCCATTCTCACATAGCTTCTGCAGCCACTGAAAATTGCACAAAAACTGGGTGTGTTCCAAATACTGCAGAGAACGCACAAGGATGTAGTGGGCTGCCACATGGCCTCTGGACCAAATTCTGGTCTCAATTGTAAATAGAGGAGTACCTGTACATCAGGAACCAACTGGCAACCAATATAGTTCCTGAAGCAGTGTTATCCAAGTATACCAGCATATGCCATCACTGCTGGACCACCATATTCTGTATTAACTGTTGCCTCTGAATGCTCTGCAACAGTAGTCTATTTAGAGTTGTCACAATAATCTAGGAGAAATTGATTAGAGCATAAAGTGCCTGTAAGTAGGACTTCTCAGTTTAGGAATGGTTGCAATCGGTACAGAATATTTAAAAGTCCTGCTAGTCACCATTACTACTTGCTCTTCAAGCAAGAATTGTGAAGCTAAGAGAACTCCAAAGTTCAAGGAGGACTCAGAGGATTGTACTCACTCTAAAATCCATCATCAGCAAGCATATCCAATGCAATTTACTTATTAAATCACAAACTGAACCCTGACTACCAAGATATAAATAATCTACTTTCTCTAGGAGAAATTGTAAGATCACCATTTTTTTTCTAGGGCAAACAGGTATAGAGGAAATATGCTACAACCATCTCCAGAAACTACTGATCACTGCCAGATCCAGCCTTCTGCCGTTTCACAGGAAGTCTTAGCCACAGTAGAAGGGTTCTAACTGAAAGGTGATGGAAACAACACTATACAGGATCCACTTTCTCAGACACATAAACTCAAAATTATCCCAGATCATTTCACAAGACAAGACTTCAATCACCTCTATTGCCTGTATGCACCAGAAATCTAGCTTCTCTCAAATCTGAGCAATTTTGTCTACAAAAGCTGCAAGAATTTTTTAATAACCTTTCAAATGGTCTTGGCTTACTGTCAAATAAATGAATTACAGAAGTTCAGTCTTTTTAAAAACAAAAAAAATTGAACTGTTTTTGTCTCCACAAAGACCAAGTTATTTTGATAATAAGCCATGTGTTTGAAGCAACATCCTTACTTGCAAGATAATCCAAGGAAGAACAAGTTAAATTCGGATGGCTAAGAGGCTTTAGATCCAAATCAGAAGAAAGGCTTTTATTGCTTTATCCAGTTTGATTCCTTTAGCCTTCTCAGAACAATCCAAGAATGGAAAAACACAAGGCAGAGAACAGTTTTCTAACAAACACTGCCTCCAACAGGTGTACGATTTCACCAGAACTTTGTTTCTTCCCCATTGCAAAACTAAATCAAGATTTTGTGTAATTCAAGACGTTTAAGGGATGAAAATGGGTGCCTTAAGCATCTCAAAAATATTGATTCCTTAACTTCTTGCTGAATTCTGCTAGTGTGAACTCAGACTCTATTAATTACTTTAGCTGACCTGTAGATTGTCCATTCCTGGTCTGCAATGAATTTGTATACAATGCTTTTGAGGGAGATCCAAAGGGAATAGTTCAAAAACTATTTTATTGATAAATTTTTATTTTGTATTATTTTTTAACCAGCAATAGTGCTGGTAAAGGAATTTCTTTTTTGTACACTCCAGTGTCTATTACAGTGATGGTGAACCTTTTAGAGACCAAGTGCCCCAAAACTGGCCCCGTCCCTGCTCCACCCCGCCATGCCCCCGCTCCACCCCCACACCATCCCCCACCCCACCTGCCCACAGGGCCACTCACCGCCTCCAGGGCCCACCACAGATTGCCCAGGCAACCAGCAGCACCATGGTGGCCATGCCCTCTGCCCGCGCCCTGCAGCATCAACTGTGCGCAATGAGGCAGGTTGGCCACCACTGGTCTATTACAACTTAAATACTTTACATGAACACACAGAATACTACAACTAAATACTACAACTAAAAGGAAATTAAAGGACAATTATAATTACTATTAAATATTTGGCCTTGGAGTTTATTAATACAGATCTAAAATAAAATTAGGATATTTAAATTTTAATGCAGACAGTAACAAAACATATTACCCAGAATATTTGATAACTACCACCTAAATCTGTTAAGATGGTATTAAATATCAATTTCTATTAGTTAAGATCAGAAGCAACTCCATTTTTAATAATCAAGCTTCCAATCCAGGAAAAAATAGTATGATCTCTTACCCTACGCATGGCTTCCTCCTCCTCTTGACGCTTTTCATAATGTGCAAAGTCATCAAAGATTGAGGTGGTATGCTTGAAAGTAGCAATTATTTTAAGCACTTGCTTGGCTTTTTCTAGGGGTACTTCTTGAGTGTCCCTTGAATTGGTAACTGGTTTGTTGTCATTATTTTCCAAGCGAATGTGCCGCAGCTGGTTGTTCGGAACGTCTTTAACAAAGATCCATTTAACATCAAACTTCCCCTTCCATTTATCCTGAGACCAGACTCCAGCATACGCATTGTAGTCCACCACCGACTTCATCTCAGCCACTCCACAGAAGTGTCCACTGCCATTCACACTGAAAAGTAAATAGAGTGGGCCTTTTCCATTCAGTGAACGATACGCAGCATCCAAGCGCTTATTACCATGTTCAGTACTACACCAGATAGAATATTTAATGGAACGATGTATATCATCCTCTGAATAACTTTTTATTATAAACACACGACCATTCTTCAGGTTCCAGTCAAAGTCTTTGGGATTATAGTTGTTTATGGCCTTTAATTTCTCCAAAACTGGGTGTACTTCCACACCAGATGGTGAAGAGCTAACTGGTATAACACCTATACCATAGTTTTCATTGCCAGCTCCATTGCTCTGATTGAAGCCTACACCTCTATTGCGAGGAGCCACCCAGCGATTTTGCAGCTGTTGCTGTTGCTGCTGCTGCTGCAGCTGATGATGAGGCTGAGCCTGTTGCTGAGGTCCTTGAGGCTGTTGTGACTGTGGCGGCGGCTGTTGCTGCTGCTGAGGCAGCTGGCTTTGCACCATAGGAGGTGGCTGAATTAAAGGCTGAGGCTGTTGAATTATAGTCTGAGGAGGCAGTATTGGTTGGGTTGGAGGAGCCTTTACCACCGACCCTTTTTCATCCCAAGTGCCAATATTCATGTTGTGTTTTATAGGTGGTGGCGGTATTGCAGGGCCCCCAATTCCCACATTACCTTTAGGTTTAAGTTTTGGCTGAGGCTTAGCAGGCTTTCTTGCAATGGCAGCCCATGAGGTTGGTTTAGGTGCTGAACTGCTGACTGCAGGCACATTATTCGCTGCAATACTTGTCATACCTGTATTGGTTAGAGCTGATCCAACAGTTTTTGTTACAGCAACTGTCATTTCACCACCAATTTTCAATCCAGTCATACCTTGCTCAATGCTGCTAATTCCAGGTACCTTGCTCAAAGTATCATTGCCAAATCCAGCCTGTCCATCGGCTATAGCTCTACCGAGAGAGCTGGGTGGGTAGCCATAGCTGCTGCTATAAGCAGAGCTTTGGGTTGATTGCCCCTGAGATCCACTTGTCCCCCATGTAGAGAAATCTGCATTCCCAGGAAAAAAATTAAATCCATGCTGACCAAGAAACGGAGGAGTATTCCCTAAAGCCCCAGGTTGACTGAATACACCATCAGGGATATAGTGGTGTTCACCATTGCTCATCTGTCCATAAGTTGTCAAGTATGGCATTGGAGGATCTCCAGCTGTGGACCATGCTGCTTCACCCAAAGAGTATGGAAAACCAATGGAGGGAGCATAATAACTAGGCATGTATGGGTCTGACATTGGTGGATAGCTATTACTCTGCAGATGAAGAAAAATAATAATCAAACTTTAATGCTACACTTATAATGTATATCTCTCACAAATCTAAATTTAAGAATATTTAATACTGTTGATGTCCCAAAACTTAAATACAGAAAAATATTTTCACATTAAAAGAACTGGATAAAAGCCCTAAAAGCCAAATAAATAATAGTGATTAATATAATTAATATGAATAGTTTAAAACTGCTCCATAGTGGTACAATTTTAATTACACTGGTATGGCTTTCTAAAGAAAGAACGTGCACATCTTCTGGCACTGATGAACCTCCAATCATCTAAGAATATTCCAGATACCATTTTATTTTATTCCTTATAACTGGGCTCCTGCCTTCTACCTGTGGTTTTCTTCATCTTAAATCAGGCTGTACAAAACAAGAGGTTTTTTTAATCAAATATGAACTTCAGTATCTTTAGTGTGTTAGAATTTACTGTGTCTCCTGTCAAGATGCTACTAAGTTCACTATGGAAAGACAGCAATAGGAAATCAAGCTAGTGAACACATTTATTCCTTACTCCTGAGGAGGAACATAATTTGAGACTCCAGGAATATACATTACTAAGTAAAATGCATAGGCAGGGCAGGACGTTTTGCAAGCTTAATTGACCCACAAACGTCCAAATTTATATATCTTGTTTTGTTCATTCAACCTAAAAAAATTTATTGTATAATGGCACAAAAAATAAAACAGGCACAATAGTTTATTTTACCTGTTTTATTTTCAATATTTATAAGCTTATAAGGAAAACAAAATGGGAAAGATAGTATTTGTGTTAAGCAAAGACTTTTTTGAACCCTTATATCACAGGGATTTGCATAAACTAAAAATTTGCTTAAAACAACATTACCTAAAGTATAAATAATTAATCATCTCAACAACGCACAACTAGCTAGCTAGCTTAGGATGGAGAGGGGAGGACAATTTCAGGCCTAGAATATTCTTGTTTGATTGGTAATGATATGTAAAGCCATTTTATTGCATTACTCAGATGATCATGTTGAAAAACCATCATACTGAATTTATTTATCTTGCTTTCCAGTGCAAATATGACATTCAAATCAACTACTCCCTACACAGAAATACACATACATACATCAAAACTCAACATTGTATTTTAACATTTCAACATTTTCCAACTTCTTAACTATGACTTTCACCAGGAAAACATTAAGCCAAAATTTAATCACAGGCAACAATACATGTACAGTTCCCAACAGTGTCTGAAATGCTTTTATACCAAACCCTTGTGAGACATCAGCATTGCTGCACAAGATTCCAGAAACTTTTAAAAATGGAGGAGGGGAGGGGAACTTTGTCCAATAGAACAATAATACAACAACACTGAAAAATAGCTTTACAACTGAATACAGTAGCATTTCTGTGGCCATGTATGTTGGGTTCTTTTCGACTAGTGGCTGTTTACCACCATTGCAGCAATTATGTGATCACCATTTGTGTGCTTTATAGCTGGCTTCTGACAACCAGAGTCAAGAGAGAAGGTGGCAGTAAAATTGCAAGACATGGTCACATGATGTCTCACTGAATGACCATATCACTTAGCAACGAATCTCAAATGTAAGGACTCCCAGCATTACTGCTATCATGCGGTAAGTCCTGATTAGATGGGGCTCAAAAAGTAATGACAGAAAACCTGGGTGCAACTGAAAGAATACCCCCACATCTACTGGCAGATGAAAATTCTAATTGTGTTTGTCAGAATTATTTAAATTTCCTATGTGTACTAAATAACATTTAAATTGACACTTGTTTAATGTCAAAAGTCAAACATTTATAGTTGTATACATACTGCTTGCTATGATGCTCAACTAGCAATAATAAGCAATCAAACTACACCCAAAGCTGGAAGCTACAGAAGGCAATGGAGACAATCATAGCAATGGTGTGTCAGTCACAATTATCTAGGTAGTTGCAAAGCCACTCAGGTGCAAAACTAGGTGGTCGAGACATCCAGAGGATAATGCCACCAAATTCTCTACCATACCCATGTATTTTTGCTCCTACTCTTCCTCAGGCAAATCTGGATGAAAAAAAACTTCCCTGACTTCTGCCATACTGAAATATCCAGAACCTCAGTGGAAGCAAATTAAGAATTTTTCAGGGGGGAAAAGCCTTAATTAAATTGTTTGCAGCTGTCTGAGAAAAAAAAATCTATATCAGACAAACCTCTAGGATAATAGGGTTGAGCCAAACAGAGATACATATGCAAATCCTGGTTCATTATCCTTAACTTTGCCTATGGCCTTTGTTAAATAGCCACCATTGTAGAGCAAGAAGAAAATAATAGAAACACCCCATGAGATTAATTAAGACTAGCTAGACAGCTCTCGTTAATAATTCAGGCAAAGATTAACCAAGGATTCAAACTTTCCCCATTGTTTTTATTTTTCATTAAAAAAATCCAATTTAACTATGCTCTTTGAAAATAGAATGTATAACTTTAAAAATGGATCTTCTGTTTAGAGTATTAAATGAATGAAAATAACCACAAGAAATGTATATTAACTAAGCTTTTTTCCCATCCATATTCACTGCAAGGTGAATATCCTTGGTATTTACGTCCTAAGCAAAAGAATTTAAGGAAAAATAAAGTTTTGGAACACTGACATATTCCAAAGGCAGCAATGTTTTATTAGTAAATGGCATATGAAATCTTTGAAAGGTTGTTTTTATTGTTATTAGATAATGAAAGCTATCTATTTTATTACTTATTACGAAGTACCAAGAATATGTAATAGTTTTGTAAATACTTGCCTGATTTGTCTGGCTACTCAGATATGGCTCAAAATCATCATCATTTACTGCATCCTTTTGATGAATTGAACCGTTTTGCACTGAAACTGAAATGCAACTAAAATTAGAAATAACATAAAACAGTTGTGCACGACTCTGAACATCTAATGGAAATCATAACATTTTAAGTTAAATCAGAATAGGCAACATGCATATATCATGGAATCCTTAAATCAAAAAGCCGCAAAAGGGTTGGCACTCTGTATTTATATGATCATCCAGAAAAGAGACAAAAATGGAAAATATTACATAACTAGAAGGTGAAGAGTGAGCTTTACACTTTCTATGGCCACAGAATACAAAGCAAGATAAAAAAGGTAAGCCTGAAATATTATTTGTAAGAAGGCCCTAATGAAAACAAACTAATTTGGAGAAGTATGTGCATCAGAACAAGAGAACTTCAATGGATTCATACAGAACTGATCTGTCTTTAACTAAACACTGTTTAGTGTTACATAGCACCTTAGATGTATACAAAGTTATCTAATAACCTTGAATAGTATACCATGACAACAATTTTTTTCCCTTAAGTTCATGAGAGAATAAGTTCATTACTGAAACAGATGAATGATTTACTGATTTAATGAGTTAATTTTTCTATACTGAAATAGATTGAATAACAGCAAAAAGCACAAATTTGCTGTTAAAATTCTCTTTCTAATAGTGACATCCCAATATATATCTATAATAACTTTATTTCAAAAACGTTTGTATTAAAGGTTCTTTCTACTTGCTTTATACATAAAGAAACTCAGACTCAATCCCACAATCACTATGTAAACTTAGTAAAAATTCCTGACTGAAATTCAGTGATATAATATTGACTTAGATGGACAAATGGCCGGATCTCCTTTATATTATTTCAAATGTAGCTTTTTAACCAGATTTCAGGTATCTGACAAAAACTGAATGTTTTAAAAAGCCAATACCAATGAATTTCAGCCAACAAAAACTGTAATATAAAGCATGGCTTTAATAATCTGCCTATGTACTGCTCCATGGCTGTCTGTTCACTACAAAGACACCACAATGCATAAGCAAGAATTTCAAAACAGATATACAGTATATTCTCAAGATTTCCAAGTGTTCTATTTGGTTTCTACTACTATCAACAAGCAGCAATGAATTTTTAAGTGACATTACAGTGGATGCATACTATTTAGCATTGTGCCAAATCCTTATATAACAGTTAGAACATTTTAATTCCAATCTTAAAATTAAGGGAAAAAATAAATGTTTTCAAAAAGTAGTGTTTATACTCTGCATTCCTGATAACCAGAATGGATATTAAGGTTTACAATTTAACTTGCCAAACAACTCACAAATATATAACTCTAACCACTCAACTGAGCATCAAGTTCACAGATTAGGTACTTCATCCCCATATTACAATGATTATGTTAACAGATTTATACTCTGTTCTAATATTCTATTGAAAGCAATACAACATACCTCATTTTTTTAATAAGCTTGGTGGTCTGTAATAAAGCTACTCATGTATTTAATATATCTCACTATTATGTATTCTCTTCTGTCACAAATAGCCAATTCTGGAGAAAAGAAAAATGTGCCTAAAATTTGGGTTGCAAAATAGGTATCAATACAGATATCAAGAGAATATCTGTAGCTCAGGGTTGATCTGCGGAGTCCTTAATGCTCTCTGATCTTGTTTGTTTGTTTGCAGATGTTTCATTACCTGATTAGGTAACACCATCAATGCCAGTACCTAATGCATTGATGGTATTACCTAACTGGGCAATGAAACATCTGCAAGCAAACAACCAAGCTCATATAGCACCAAAGACTCCACAATAAGCTTTATTGCAGTCCTACATGAAAGTCAATCAGATTATCATTTTATTGGTTTCTTTAAAATTCTATTTCTAACATACTTTCAATTTTATCTTGTTTTCTTCATTAGACTTGCTTTCTTGAATTCTTTCTACACACATTTTTGTAAACCACAGCCTAAAGCCATTTTCTCTACTCAAAACATAGAATCTTTTAACATGATTTACATCTCTTTGCACAACTCCTGTACTGAGGGGGGAAAAGAAATGGGCTTGTTAAAAACCACAAGCCAAAAATATAAGTCATATAATATTGCAAGTGCAAGTACTAATTTTAAAATTAATAATATTCAAAACAAGTACATACCAAAATTGGTACAATTCATTCTAATAGAATATCTGACAGAGTAAGCAAAAGAAAAAGATGTAAATGTGCGATACAATTTTTAGAGAAAGGCAAAATTCTCTACCAAGTATTTCAGAGAAAGATAACAGCAGTTTATTCTGTGATTCACCTTACAGGAAATCAATTATGCCATAGAATGGGAACATATGCTTCTAGCTCATAAGAACTAAAACATATTTTTAAAATATATCAAATAAAAGACAGTTACGTATCAGAACAAATTTTAAACAAAAGATATTACAAGTCTGATTTTCTCCCTAACTGAAATTTAGCTGTTAAAAATCTAAACCACAAAGTAGAAAGCACAATTACTATTAATTCAATATAATATTCAGTGATAAAAATGAAATATATATGTGAATGTATGTTTGTGTGTGTGTATGTATATATATATGTGTGTGTGTGTGTATACACACACACATATATATAATTATACTTAAGTATACTTAAGTATACTTATTGATCTGAGTAAGCCTTACTTCTAAATAAAGAACACCTAATATATAAAACTTCAATAATATAAAGGTGTGGCATCCTGTTCCACTGACAGACATTTTGACTATCATCATGAAGTTCAGTCATAGCTATTTAAAAGAATTACAAATACAAATAAATAGTGTATTCCTTAGTTCTTGTTATTTCTTTCCGTAATATAGTGTATGTATATACATATATATATATATCATTTTGTTTGCTCCTTACATTATATTATTAATATAATGTAATCAACCAGAGTTATTACAATAATTGAGGTGGCTTATAAACTGAATATTAAATAAATAATTAGCTTTACTTCTATGAATAGTTTATTTTAAAAATTAAAACAATATGTTCCGTTCAATACAATATCAGAAAAAGACATTTTAGGATTTTATTCAGAATTCTAATGTAAGCAATCTGATTCTACAGATATATTTTTATCAATTATTAAATGTAATAATTATATAAAGTATAATGAACCTAGTAACTCATTTTAATATAGTTAGGTCTTTTACTTGTAAATGGGCTGTACACATATGTTCAGAGCCATAATAATAATAATAAACTGTCAAGATCTTGTCATCAACCATGATTGATTAAAACTAGAACATCACTAATTTATGATATTATAAACTGTGTATATCTGTATTACTAACAGTATTTTAATTTCAGATCAATTACCAGTATCTGAAAAGACAAAATACCTGTAGTTTAATGCATATCCAAAATATTCCCTAAGATACTATCAGCATGTGTATCTTTTGCATAAATGGATAAATCTTCTAATTGTCTAATGTTTCATAACACTTTTAGGCATCACATCTTCCTTACTATTTGATATTATTTATTTTGACGAAGTTTTTTTACAGTTTTGTGATGTTTTTTAAAGTTACATAAATTCTCTGGGAAATAATATTTAAAACAAGAAGTGTGGACTATAGGGCATTTATAGAAATTATTTCTCTGTACCTCTCAGATGTGGAAATGTTTAAACAATATATCTATATATCCTTTTGCCTAGAAATAAGCCAAACTGAGATAACTAAGTGTATTCCAGAAAAAAGGTATCACAATCATTTTCTCATTTCATCATTCAAATTTGAAAGTGTTTCATTGTGATGGATGCTATCAATTTTAAAATAGCTCTAAAGAATATTGGCAAACAAAGAACTGTAAGAAATGTCACGGATAACAAACCCTGTTGGAATTTACCATTTCAATGAAGTGATCACCATAACACAGTTTTGATTAACATAGCACTCTGTTAATATAATCTTAAATATTGATGCAAGGTTTTTTTTTAGCCTTGTACAGCTTCCTTTTTACCCACACAAGGCCAAATCCACGCACAGGCTTTAGTTACTGGAATTCAGGGATAAAAGTGACAATGATCATCCACAAACAAAAAGAACAAAAAAATGGCTTATTTAAGAAACTATCAGAAAGCAAATTGACAACTGTACCAAATCACCAGAGAAGTCTTTGAAATGCTATTTTTTAAAAATGAAAGTTTTTAACTAAGTTAGCTTAAAAATAGATTCAAATAGCTTTCCCATTCTCTTTTCTCCCTGAAATTACAAAAGCTCTATCATTGTTCTTCAAAAAACATATCTTTAAATACATCTTGATCAATGTGAAATGCATGAAGAGATGCTGGAGCAAAATTATCCAAATCAAGCAGAACTCCAGCCTATGTATCCAGGCTATGTTTCCCACTTCTTTTGAAATTTAAAAACTCTACCTAAAATCTAAAAGCCTTCCTCCTAAGCTTTCAAGGAATGGAATGAAACAGGAATGAAATTTTTTTTATGAACTTTCTTAAATTAATTCATCTTAGCATCTAAGATAAACCTTTAGATGCTAAGATGAACTGCAAAAACATATTATAACAAACCTAATTAAGTTGAATGGTACTTGAGACACTTAATATCTGAATTGGAAAATCAATAAGCAAAATAAAATAATAAAAGAACCTACATCAGTTGATTAGTTCTATTTGTTCTGATGGCAGAAATAAAGAAAATGGCAAAACATTCAGGTAATTCAAGTTTATTAGATATGCAAATACAATTGCAGAATTTCATTGGTGTAGCCTAATGAATCATTTACTATTATCAATAAAATTTGTCAAACAAATGAATATCCTCAATCCCTCCAGTCTTTTCACATTAAGGAAATAATTACACTCTGCTTAACTGGAATTGTAAGAACAGAAAAATCAACTTACCTTTATTTCCCTGTCCTTTAGGTCTCTGTTAGCAATGAAATAAAATAACAATAGATGAATTACATATAAATAAATAATCTTATTTTAAAAATAGTAAATATTAAGACCTAAGCATCTAATGAATTCTAAACAGGTTAGTATCTCAAATATCACAAGAAAGGATACATAACAATAGTTATATTTAAAACATAAAAGAAAAAATATACTATTAGCACCATAAGCAATAAGACATAAAAGTACTAGAACTATTTACTTAAGTGCTAGATTTATCATTAAAACATAGCTAAAAATTAACATTCCACTGTGATAACATGATTATAAACATTATATTATTCCTGTTCTTCCCCTTTATCCCATTAGACTTATTGACTTTAGAATTGTAATAATTTTCTTATGTTGTTGAAGCATAAAATCAATGAAGAAAAATCTATACTTGTCCAACTTTGGTCAATACTAAAGTATTTTCAAAAATGAAAAATTCAAATCTGAGATTGTTAAATTATACTGACTCTGATGTGCCTGATTTTGGTGTTTATTAAATTTACTATTCACTACAGACCTCCACTATCAATTATCTTTTAAAAAAGGTAATGCATACACAGAGGAAAAGAGAAGTTCATTAGATGGTTGAAAAGATCACAGTGGGAAAAACAGCCCAAGAATATAAAGATAAGGTGGTGGAAAAAAAGCACACAACAATGAAAACAGCAAAACTAGGAAAGGAAAAAATAAGCAAAGAAGATACAGTGTATAAAAACATAGCACTGCATACTACTAAAGCCATATAATCTGCAAAAATAAAAATATCACCTTAAGGCGACAAAAGAGTAAGAAAAATAAATATGGGGGGGGGAGGGAGAGAAGAAAAGAAGCGCGGTAACAAAAGGCCAGCAGAAAATACTGAGTAATGGAGAACAAACGGCAACGACTATTGCGAATTCCTCAGAGCCACGTCCAACTACAGCCAGGGAGGGCAGAATATTTAGCCAGAGGCCATCCCGAAGAAGGAAAGTGCCGGAGCTCGTAGATTTTAGGAGACTTTTGCCTCCCATGAATACAAGCAATGGAATCGTTGAGCCTCAGCAGGAAGGCCCCAGGCCGAGCGGCCTCCAGGCCTGCAGAAGGGGCGGTCCTGGGAGTAGGGGAGGAGTCCCACGGTCTCGGATGTAGCGGGCTCGGATCCCCGCTATGACCAACGGAAGGAAGGCGGGACGAGGAATCCTCCACTCGGGAACCACAAAGCCGCGAGAAGGCGGTACCTGGTCGACGCTGGTGGCTGACATTCTTCACGGGGAGCCGCAATCCCCCTCACCCCGCTCCGCTTGGGCCTCCTCCTTCTCTCCCTCAGGTCGTCGTGGTCGCTGTTTCCGCCTCCTCTACTCTCCCCTCCGCCGCTGGCTGATTGTCTCCGCTGCCCGGACCCTCCTGTCCTGGTCTGTGCCTCCCAAAGCCACCCGCCGGACGCAGCACGACTTCCCACCTCTACTCCGGGCTCCGGGCTTTCCCACAATGGCGGACGCGCTCCGGCTCCTACTTCCGCTCCGCGGCACCCTGACCTTCCGCTCTTCCCCCTCCGCTGACGACGTCGCCGCTGACCTTTCCCTTTCCTTTTCCGCTTCAAGTCACGTGGAAAAAAGTAACCGGGAGCAATCTTCGCGCGTGCGCCAAAGGGGTGTTCGAGGGCCCGTATAAAGGAGGCGCCTCTTATGGAGAATGAGGTGCTGGCGCAGGCGCAGTAAGAGCTGGCTGGGACGGAGAAGGAAGTGAGGCTAGCGTTTCGGGGCTTGAGCCGTCTGCGATCCTGGCAGGAGCCGGGCAGTTGCTTTTCGAAGGGCGTTGTTGGGGAGAAGTGCTGCCTACGGCGTTCCTCCGCTTTACCAACGGCCTGGTGGTGCGTAAAAGACAAGGGCTCTGTTTCAGGGTGTGGTTGCAGGGTTGGCGTCCTGGCCGTGGCGGTATCGCCTTTCAGAAAAAGGGTGCATTTTCGGGCCAGTGGCTGCCATTGTCCCGGTTGTGATCGTGACCCGCCTGGGATTGGCTGTGGAGTTCGAAGCGGCCCTTCACTTGGAAAGCCGAAGTGGGACAAAGGACGTGGGAAGGTGTGCCCTTGCTTTGTATTCTGTCCCTTTCTGGCTCATCTCCCATTGTTTAAAGGAGATCGGACGAAAGAGCGTAGATGCGAGGTACCCACTGTAAGAACTGGCGATCCCACAGAGGCTCTTCCCAAAACTGATTCTGTGACAAAAGAGAGATTTGGACAGATTGCCGATGGAGTTGGGATTCGGGCAGATAGCCAGGATCTTAAAAACAGGCTTTGTCTGGCCTCCCTAGCCTAGGCCCTCTAATTTAGGCTTCATATAAGGGAGTTAATCGCTGTAGTTCAGGAGGGGCAGGAAGTGATTAGTAAACATTTGCATATATACTGTCTTCACGACTAGCATTATTAGTCATAGATTAATGCAGAACTGGATTTCACAAGTCATTTATTTGGGGATTTTTTTTTATTGCTGAGCAATAAAACAGCTCTGTTTCAATTTGCATTTTTAACATTTTTTCTGAGAATATGATTCTTTTCCCTGGCCCCTCCTATACAGTTTTAAACTTGTATTTTCCTCCTTAAGCTCATCATTGTTTCAGTATATGTTAAATTGGTTTTGCTTTATACTTGTTATTTTAGAGGCGAAGTCAGATGACCTGTTGCAGCGATTGAAGATCTATTTTGGGAGGCAAACCTCTGATTATATTGCAAGCTAACAACTCCTCTCTGATCACCAACTACTCTCAGCCTTTGCTCTCACTAGCACTTTGTTTTCTGAATTCTGAATTTTTCACCCATCTCTCTCTCCACCTCCATCTGCTTTTTTTGTTTAGCATCAACATATCCAGGCTTTCTACAGTTTAGAGATGAGGACAGCTTTACTAAAGTAATTAGGAGAGAAGACTGGTTAATAGCACTATTAATGTATTAAATTATTAGATTGTTATTTTGTTTTGAAATTTTATTATTCCAGAATGCTCATACGCAATCAACCAAGAAGAATGGGATACATCTTTTAAATTACTTTTAAAATGGCCAGTAATTTTAAACACAGAGGAACCAGATATTTGAAATGATGGAAAGTAAAACTTAAAAACTATGACAAAATAAGCCCTAGTCTACTAATGTTCATCACCAGGAAGAAACTATTCAAAAAATGATATTTGATTAATCTCCATATGTAAATGAAATGGTTCCATTTTTTCTGTTATGAATGCTCAATTTATAACAATTTGTTTCGTGGCCATTCAAAGTTACAAGTGTATTGAAAAAAGTGACTTATGACCATTTTTCATACTTAAGACTGTTGCAGCATACCCATGATCATGTGATAAAAATTTGGATGCTTGGCAACTGCCATGTATTTATGATGTTTGCCATGTGATCACCTTTTGCAACCTTTTGACAAGCAAGTTTAATGGGAAAGCCAGATTCACTTAAATAATTTACTGTGCAGTAATTTTGGAAAATGTGAGATTTTATCTTGGAATGGCATTTGGCATTCTATGATGTCTGATAAATCAGAAGTACTTTTTAAAATTTTTGAAGCAAATAGGCTGAAAGCTGGAAAAGTATACACCTAAATAATATATTGATTGTAGAGATAATCAGTGGAAGAAATACTTCAGATCATAGCCTAATTACTTATTACAAAGAATAACAATTTTTAATGAATATACTCTCTCCCACGAAATTGAATCGTTCTTTAGGTATAAATTTAGACTTATATACCATTTCACAGTGCTTTACAACCTTCTAAGCAAATTGCACCTAACAATCTGGGTCCTCATTTTGCTGACCTCGGAAAGATAGAAGGCTTAGTTATCCTTGAGCTGGTGAGAATCGAATTGCTGGCAGTCAGCAGAATTAGTCTGCAATACTGCATTCTAACCTGTTATTAACTTAGTAGATGTGGTTCATACATCTTAACAGGATGATATCAAATTAAAGCCAATGTAGATGATTGTTAGCAACAAAAAGGAGCTCCTAGTTCCAGTTTTTAGAGTAAAGAATTTGGTTGAGGTAAAAATCACCATGACTGAGATTAAATTTTTTCTTAATTCTGCATTATAGATGTCAATTATTTAATTTATTAGCCCTTTCATTTGCCAAAGCATTTATTTCAGTTGTACTATTTTGGTTTATAGCCTAATAATTTTCTCTCTCAGTTTTTAATTTTCTGCTTTTTTTCTTTTTTGCCCATTTCTCTGTATTTATCTATTTTGTTCCTCTGTCCTCACCCTACTCGCACATTATAAGCAAGATATCTAATTATCAAGCAAGTTACCTTCCATGCTTAATTCCCCATGACCGATTACTCTATTTGCGCCAATTACCGTATTTTTCGCACCATAAGACGCACCTGACCATAAGACGCACATCGTTTTTAGAGGACAAAACAAAAGAAAAAAAAATTTCTAACCGGCGGTGGCGCGGTCAGGTAGGCGGCGGCGGCGCGGTCGGATAGGCGGCGGCGGGCCGTCCGGGAGGCCGCGGGGGGGTGCAGCG